GCGAAAATGACGGGCTCGTGGAAAATGGAGGCGCCGGGGTTTTTTTTTGGTCACACTCTCTTTTGAAAAACACGGTCATTAGCTTAATGATGTCCTCATGCAACAAAGGCCGGCGCTGGCGGTTCATCCGCACGCCGGCGGTTCACCCATACGCGCCGATTGTCTCTCGGACGCGCCGCCGCAGAACATTACCTCGCTCGTTCGTATCTTCATGCAAATGTCCCCAGGCGGGTTCCCCAGGGGAGCCGTGTTCCGGCTGCCTCTGCTGGATTGCGGGAAATGAAAAAATCGACGGGACAGAGATGATCATTCTCGCTCAGATGATTGGGAATGGCGCGCCTTCCTTTCCGTTTTTTTCTTTTCCCTCCCTTCCCCGGCTGTCTTAATTTTCTGACGGCGTTCACTTGTGGAGCGCTGTAGATGCCTGCCGAGAGAGTGAGCGGCAGGGCCCAGGCAGAGCCGCGCTCTCTCTCTCTCTGTCCTCCTGTCTGCGTTTCCACTGGAGGGTCCATGAAATATGGATTATTTCAGATACGTGGGAGAATGGTTACACTATTGGCTTCTTCCCCCCCCCCCCATTCTCTCTTTGCAGTTTTATTTACTTATTTATCTCCGTGTATTTTGGTGGTACGAGAAGGGAGGAGGAGGAGTCCACGGCGCAAAGTTGTCAGCTTGGTTTCCAAAAGGCTGCAGAAATCGATCCGGGGCCAATTAGCCGTTGGCCATGATAAAAATGGCCGCTGTAATGGCCAGCTCTGTCTCCATCCAGGTGGGAGGTGGAAGGGGTGGGGATGGGGCTGAATTAGCTGTTTGCACGCCGAGGTCGCGTGGCCTGTAATGGCGAACAGGTGCGTGCGCCAGCGACGGCTCGAGACACCTCTTGTTTACCCGACCGCTTTCTTCTGAATTTTCAAAAAAAGGTCCCTGTGCGTTCTCTTTAGGATGGAGCGGAGGGAGAGCGTCGAGCGCCGCCAGAATCCGCGAAAACGGCCGGGGGTCGCGTTCGTAAAGTAGCGGTGCCGTTTCACCCCACCGGTTGTAAACGGCGGACCTGGCCTTCGTCCAAACAACAGGGTCCTGTGTTTTGGGGTCTTACGGCAAATGCTAATGAAGGCTTGGCACTTGTTTGGGTACCACCGCCACAAACAAAGATGACCGTAATTAAAGCCGCGGCATCCTTGGCCTCCCTTAATCTGCCAGCCACAGTTTTAATTAAAATTATCGGTCATTCTCGTGGTCTCGAAAAGCTTAAAAAGGGATACATTCATAAAGGCGCGCGAGGGGTAGGGCCAAGTTAATGAAAATGATGTTTGCACCTGGCAGAGTAATATTAATCCGCCACTGCCTGGGTGGGATTTGCTCGGCCGGGTTTTACAGCCTGTTATTTCACAGTCAGAGGATTAGAGCCAGCACCAAAAAACACAAGCAATTTATTTTTATAAATGTGTAAAGGGAGTCGGAGCTGGGGTAGGCAGGGGCATGGGGGCGGAGGGGACGATGAGATGGGGGCGGAGGGGACGATGAGATGGGGGCGGAGGGGACGATGAGATGGGGGCGGAGGGGACGATGAGATGGGGGCGGAGGGGACGATGAGATGGGGGCGGAGGGGACGATGAGATGGGGGCGGAGGGGACGATGAGATGGGGGCGGAGGGGACGATGAGATGGGGGCGGAGGGGACGATGAGATGGGGGCGGAGGGGACGATGAGATGGGGGCGGAGGGGACGATGAGATGGGGGCGGAGGGGACGATGAGATGGGGGCGGAGGGGACGATGAGATGGGGGCGGAGGGGACGATGAGATGGGGGCGGAGGGGACGATGAGATGGGGGCGGAGGGGACGATGAGATGGGGGCGGAGGGGACGATGAGATGGGGGCGGAGGGGACGATGAGATGGGGGCGGAGGGGACGATGAGATGGGGGCGGAGGGGACGATGAGATGGGGGCGGAGGGGACGATGAGATGGGGCGGAGGGGACGATGAGATGGGGGCGGAGGGGACGATGAGATGGGGGCGGAGGGGACGATGAGATGGGGGCGGAGGGGGATCTGAGGCTTGGTGGGGGGGGGGGGCAGAAGAAGTGGGGCAGTTTTGGTTATAAAACCGCAGCCATCGCCAAAAACTTAAATTGCTTCTTGCGTCACGCTGTCCTCGCGAAAGTGCTCGGCTGTGGTCGGTCGCTAAGGGTGCGTGCGTGAGAGTCGTCCGGGGTGCGTGCGTGAGAGTCGTCCGGGGTGTGTGCGTGAGAGTCACCCGTCGCCTAATTGCGAATTTGGACTGCGTCATCGGCAGCTGCGGCGTTATGGCAGCGGCCGCTTAACTTGAACAAAAAAAATTCTCCTTTGCAAAAACAATCACAAGTGCTGATGTGGACGGCTGTTGTCATCGGCAAACAAAGGCGTTTTGCATGAATAATTCAGCCGCAGGCCCCCCCAAGCCCTTTTGGCTGCCGGGGTCGCAGTCTCTGGCCCAAACTTGTTGGTAAACGAGGAGATGAGGGCGTGGGTTTTCGCTGCAGCGACGACGACGGTTCCGGGCGAGCAAAAAGACATTACGAATACCCGAGGCCAATTCGGCACCGTCCGACAGCCCGCCAACTTTCCGAAAGCGGTGCAAAGGCGCGACCCTCCAATGAAGCCGTGATTTTAGACGTAACGACCGAGGATGGCAGCACCGGCAAAAGCAGCTCAATCAAATAATTCAGCCTGCATAGTAATTGATGTAAATAGTTATCAGATTAACATAATAAAGAGCAGTCTAATATAATCTGCAGGTTACCAAAAGGGGGGTTTTGTTCTGCCAATAATCCTCCCTTCTTCTCTTAAGCTCTTTAGGGGGGGGCCCCGCATAATTTGTAGGCTGGGTGGAGAATAGATGGGAATCGAGCAATGTGGAATTTGATTGGCCAAAATACAACTTTCCCAAATAAGCCGTCCTCTTTCATCCTGGACCGTTAAAGACCTTCCCCCGTGGTCTCGGCGTCCGGAGAAAGGACAAGCCGTGACTCCGCGCCGGCGCTCACGGCTTGCTCACTGTTTCCTTGCACGGCTGGAGATTTTTTTTCTCTTCTTCCCACCCCCCCCGAAAAAAAGAAAGCATTATTTATTTATTTCGCATTCATCCCGCGGGTGCGCGGGGATTCAAGCCCGGCGAGGGCTCGGAGGCGATGCGGCCGCTGCAGAGGAAGGCCGCCTTGCTCTTCCCAGCGGCCGCGTGCAGCTCCGACGGCCCGCCGGCGCGCGCCGAGGTGACGGGACGAGCCGGCGACGGAGCGCGCGACGACCGCGACGGTTTATTTTTTGTCCGTTTGTTTGCGATTTTTTTTTTTTTTTCCGAGTTGTGGGATTTACGGCAAGTGAGCGGAAATGCCGGCAGAGCGAATATTAACCGAATGGGCAACTCGCCGCGCGTGCCGGCTCGCGTGTGATTCCGTGCGATCCGGTCGGTATTGCGCACGCGGTTGTTTTTTGTCGTGCGTTCCTCGTTTGCTTAACTGCACGTGCTCTGCGGAACATGTGGCCGACCGCGCGCTCTCGTTTGCGGTTCGTCTCGTGCTCTGGCTCTACCGAGCGGAGAGGAGTGGAGGCGAGGCGTGCAACGCGTTATCCGCTCGCACCCTGCTCCTGGATCATGCATTTATCCCTAAAGCGAGAAACGTTGCCTCGCTGGCATACCCCCCCACCTGCTGCGTGGACGAGGGCGACGTTGGTCGTCAGTGTGTGGTGCCAGCGTGGACATGCGTGTGTCGAGGAACTGTGGTGCATCGCTTTTGCACTTTGACCTCCACGAGCTTGGTTTGATTCCCAGCGAGCGTTAAGATCCATGGCAAGAGGTGTCTGCACCTGTTCTGCTGTCCTCCATTAGGTCAATGCCACTACAAGTGGGGACCAGGTTTGCTCTGCGAATATCGGCCGTCTGCGGTTCTGGCCAAGAGGCTTCCTCTAGTGCCTCGTTGGACTTTAATATGTGCTCGCCAACTGCACTTAACCATAGGTTATTTGAGGCGAACACTGGAAATAGCGTTCTTGAGGGGAGCCAGGTGTTCTTCTACTCGTGTGCCTGGGTGCACAGATATCCATGAACGCAGGAAAGCTGATCGTCTGTACTTCACCGGTGATGACTAGTTGAACCAAACCACTGCAGTTGTTGAAACGGTTCGTTCAGTTCGTACGGAGGTAACGAAATGGAAATATCATTTACACGTAACGCACTGAACTCGGTAACTTTGACGGTTTATCTATGTCCCTGCGACTTTTAAGTGAAGCTAGATTGGAGGCCACGGGCTTAAGCCCCCTCTACAATGGTTAGAAACGTGCCGTTTTAAAGTATTTGTCTGCTGTGAATGTCCACGTGATAAGCCACTTAGTTGTGTTGTTGTTTGTGGCTAGGTCGACTTCTGAAACAATAACTACGTAGCTCAGTGAGCCTTTCCTGGTAAAATAAAATAAATAGTTTAGTTTGAGTTTAAAACTCCGAACTGGCTCACCAAACGAGGCCAAAGCCGGTGTTCTGGCATGAAAATAAAGATGGGGAACGGGTGGAGGGGGAGGAGTGTAGTCGTACTTTCATGTCATCGTCATTGTTATTAGTCACCTTTTGTAATCTTGGGAGCCAGAGTTGGCTTGTATGGAGCCCACTGGCGGCTTCAGTACAATATGGATCGGCACCAATTGTTGTGAACTGTTGTTTTGAGGCTTTTTTTATTAACTCACACTTGTATATTACCAGGTGATGATGAATAAATGAAAGTTTTTTTCTTTGCAAAGGACATTGTTGAAAGTTTTATTTTCAGAGTTTCTCAGCGCCTGGTTTGGGCTTTGTAAGGGGGTCAAAGAGTCATGTAAGTTTTCCTAAATTTGGCAGCGTGGCGGGAGTATTCTAAAACCTCCCGGACCCGTCCCCCACACACACGCGGCGAGGAAACACTTAGCACTGCCCTCCCATCTCCTAACGGTTCCCTAACTCTCCCCCATCCTCCTCCTTCCGTCCGAACCCCGCAGCACCTGCAGAAGCAGGAGGCCTCGTCGCCGGTGGAGGGCTGCCTGTTCGTGTGCACGCTCTGCGACTTCTCCACGCACGCCAAGCTCGCTTTGCTGCAGCACGCGCGCTCGCTGCGCCACCAGCAGAGCGAGGGCCTGCGCCGACTGCAGCAGCTCCACCGAGGCCTGGCGCAGGAGGCCGCGGGGGCCGGCGGGGTCACGGCCGCCGGACTGGGGGTGGCGGGCGGGGAGGACGAGCTGGCGCAGATCTTCTGCGTGCGCGAGGCGCCACAGCCACAGAGTGGTGAGTGGCTCGCATCCACGGCACGTGCGTGTGTACGTACGTAAGTGCGCACGTGCGTGCGTGTGACTAATACGCAGCAGTGTGGCGCAGTAGGCAGCACAGGTGGTGAGTGCGCCCTCAGTCAGTCGACCCATGGCACCTGGGGTCTGTCCCATGACCTCCTGCCAGCAGTGACCCATCCACACTTCGCGCAGCCTCAAAATGCACCTAGCTTGGCACAGGTGCTATGGTGATGTCACCACCACTTATCCGCGAATGGCAGCTGTTGCTGCGATCGTGTTTTTGTGGAAGGGAGAGGTGGATGGCGGTGATTATCCCCTCCCCGTGCTATGAATCTGGCGACAAAAGTTCGATTCCCGCTCGTGGATAATGTCGGTGACGAATATTTAAACTGGGCCTGGGCCTTCCTGAGGTTAACTGTGCCTCATGCGAGTACCTGGTGCCGTGTGTAAACACAAAGCACTGGGGGGCAGGGGGGGGTGGTGCTGAGCACCCACCTCCTCGTGGGGCATCCCAGCATTAATACGTGCTCACTAACAGCACTTGCCCCGGCAGTCTGATCAAGGCTACGTGGGGGATCTTTGTTATTGTGTGTGTGTAATGCAATTGATAACACATGCTCAAAACGTAAGGTTTAAAGCATGCTTTGGCTGTTTTTAATTTAATAGAGTGTCTAGGAGAGTGACAGCTCTTCATTGTCTAATCCAGCAATATCAAGAAGCGGCTTTCGTAGCGCGCACGTGTATTGTGCGCGTGCGCGAGTGCGTTCGTGCGAGCGCCTGCGCCCGCATTAGCATTTGTTTTACTTTCGCTCGTTTCCATCACACCGGTGCGCATGGGATAGAACGCAGGCGGGGAAGGGCACCCGCCGCAGAGGTGCGGGGCGAGCAGGCGGTGGGGAAGACACCGGGGAGAAGAAAAGCACTGACTTATAAATGTTCTGTATCTGAAAATGAGTGTTCACACATGCATCACATTAGGAACTCCAAAGCTGTAATTCTGTATTCTGTTTGTTTCTATAGGGACCCACTGTCACGGCAAAAAAAGCACCAGCTGCATTTTCTACGATACGTTATATTACTCACCAACTTTTCTTGTCTGCTTTATCAATTTACATGAAAGCTTTTCCTTTGGATCACCGCCACCTAGCTAGTTAGACAATGTCTGCGTCGGACGTCACTCCCCGAGGAAGCAACGGTGCATTCACAGCGGACGGGCATTTCAATAACAGATAGGCCCTGTGGTGGGCCGTGGCAGCTGGGAGGGTAACCTGACCTGGATCGGCAAGGGGTCGCGCCCCACTCAGGAGCAGGCACACCTCGTCGCGTCTAGACGGCAGCAGAGGGGGCGGCAGCAGCAGCAGCTCGCGTCGAGGCCTGGGCCGCGGCAGCACAGCTTGTTCTCATTAGGCCCATCAGATGGGGAAAATGTGAGAGCGCGCAGGGTTGATGGGAACCACTTGCCCCAGGCCCCCCCGCCTCTCCTTCACCCCGCTTGTACCCCCCCCCTCCTCGCCACCTCGCCCCCCTCCCCTCCACCTTGCTTGCTCCCACCCCCACCAACCCCTGCCGTCAACCCTCCTCTCCACCTAGCCTGCTTCCCCGGCTTCTCTCCGAGGCATGCAGAAGGTTACAAAATCCAGCCCCAAAAGGTTTCCATTAGGCAAACTTTCTCCCCCGGTGTAATCTTTAATTTCCGCTCCCATTACGTTAATGCCCCTGCTCCAGATTTGGGACCCATTTTGCGGTTTGAGCCGCAGACAAGAAAGTAGCAGAACCATGTGGCTCATTAAAAAACCAGGGAATGATTAAGATTTATGAAGTGCTGTTGCGTGCGATCCACAGCTTTGGGTAGGAATGCTGCTCAAGTATTTTTTTCTCTCCCCTCCATCAAATCTGAAATTCATTTCTAAGTTTATTAGATGTTGTGGAACTTTGCCACGGTTCAGAGTTTTAGAAAATGAAAACTGTAACACATATATGGACATTGGCTCCGCCCGCAGGCTTGTCCGTCATAATTCTAAAAGGTTAAAAATTAAGAGGGTAACTTCAAAGCACGCAGCGATCCTGCCCAGGAATACCGCGTGTAGCATTACGGCGGTGCGCCAGCGCGTCGCGGAATATTGGGGCTGGAAATTGAAATGCGTTCCTGCCCATTACACGATAGGGTTGTACTTCAGCGGAATACGATTTGAAGGGGAGAGCTTTGGGAGGGGGGAGGGGCGGCGAGCGAAATCATTATCAGCATGCGAGGTAACGGGGCGACTTGGAGGTGAGAGGGAGGGCGGGGGGGGGGCAGGGGGGCGTTCGCGTAATTGGAAAATTGAACAATGTCATGAAAATTACTTTTGTAAGCAAAGCTGCTTTCAATCAGCAGAGTTTTTTTAGTCGTGCATAAATTGATTCAGTGTGAGGGGCGGGGGTTGGTGGTTTTGAGCTTGGCATCGTACCGCGTCGGAGAGAAACAATATTGCGTGTGACAAACGCAGGTCAAAATTAAGCGGAGGTCGTTACGAGGGCCTTTGCTGACTGGATAAGCCGTTTCCCTCCGCAAAACTCTGCCAAGATGTGTTTTAAGCTGTCAATTTCCGTCACAATAACTAGCATTCCAAGGTGTCCTTCAGGGCACGGGGAGCCACGGTAGTGCTGCGATGGCGGAGCAAAACCGTCATCCCACGTTTCACGACACCTGTTGACTCGTTTAACGTTGGCTGGTGAGGGATGCGCGTGATGGGGGCGGGCGGCGCACCGCCCAACCATACTCGCCGCACACGAGCCAAAAATACAAACGCAAAGATCCCCCCCCCCCCCCCCCCCTGTTAGCGAGTGCCTATGAAGGCCGGCACAGCCTTCATAGGCACTGGAGATGTTTACGACACTGGAGATGTTTACGACACACCCACACCAGGTACTCATTTGAGGCCGAGTCGATGTAGGGGAGGCCCAGAACCGGTTCGGATAATTAATCGTCACTGGTGTTAGCTGTGAGCGAGAATCGAACTCAGGTCTCCGGGTTCTTAGGGCAGCATAGCGCAGCATAGCGCTAACCGCTGCACTACCGCACACGAAACAACAAACCGAACCACACACGGCCTAACCACGCCAGCCACCACATACAGAGCCCTAACAGCAGTAACCACGTGAAAACAACGCATAGATTCCCACTTCATAGAATGAAGTAGTGATAATGATAATTACTTATCGAGGAAAGCCACACTCGACTTTATTTTTGGAGGGTCCTGCTCCATTGGGTTTTTACTTTAAGATGTGTTCAGCCAATTAATGATGAGTTGTATTAAATTTTGATTAAAGCTTTCATGACTGCAGGGATTCATATTCTTGGTTCTTTCGGTAAAGTCACACCTGATGTTGATTGCTTGTGTTGCAGTCGAAACGTCGTGAGAATTTTTATTGTTTTATATTTATATTATTTTATTATTTCCCTTCTACGTGACTTTACCGAAAGAACCAAGAATATAATGATGAGTTGTGTTCATGCAAATGGGAGGAAACCAGAGCACCCAGAGAACCCATTGCATGCGAAGGGGCAACAATCTATCCCCGTACAGATGGAAACAGATGGCGATTAGTCCACTTCCTGTACTGCTTTTTCCTCGCAAGCCAGGGCATGGCGCCTCCGCGACGCTCAAGGGAACGTAGTTTCACAACATTTGCGTGCAATCCACCAACCCCCGCCTCCACACAACCTCAAACGCAAAGCATAATGGCATCAGTATACTCGACGTGAACATATCGGTAAAACATACAGAGCTTAACTACGCCGGCCAGTGCATCTACGTATGTATGTTGAACTTCTTTCGCACCGTACATAGCCAACCGTGCTAATCGGAGTTGCACGGACCCTAACCACACAAATTGTAACCGCACCAAACCAGGACACAATCCCTAACCACACCATGCCAAGGCAGAGAGTGGTGGTTGTAGCAAACCTGGCATTAAACGCATGGAATCGCCGGCTCACAGTGATCAAATTTGAGATGAAAAAGGGAAGTTTGGAGCTTTTGGCTTAAAGAAATTGTATAACTTTTTTGAAAAAAATCTTCAATATATAAGGCATTAGCGATAAAAGAGACAAATCTGAGCGTGATAGAATTATTAATAATCTGGAGCTACAATGTTGATGGTTCCTTTTTGATCTAATATCTCTGATGTTTTCGCTCTAAGCGGTTGATTTGGCGGGGCTCTCAGGCCCGTCCGGCACATTTTTTAACAAATGTACATTTTCAAGCCGAATTACAAGCCCACTGATACGGCCGGGGGGATGTCTAAATTGAGCTCGGTTGCTTGGAAAGGTTATTAAAACTTAAAAGTTGAAGCACATCTTGAGTTAGTTTTAAACTCATTTTAAGATACCAGGTGGGTAATTTGCCAAAGCGCACAGCTCGCATATCACTCTGCTCTCACGGGCTCGCCGCCCTTTGAAGTCGCTGCCAGCGACGCTCTGCTCGTCCTCCCAGTGGCGCTCACAAACGCATAAATCCAGGAAGCCCACAGAGCTTACTGATCACAGCATACAAAACGTATTATTTGCTTTGGACACGTGTTTTTTTTTTACCCCTTCCTCACTCGGCACAGAAAATTCAAATTCATTTTGCCTAATGCCTCTTTTACGCACAAGATCTGCTAAGTCTGTAAGTTGAAAAGGATGGCTGTAATGTGTGCAAGAGGAGGGAGGGACACGGCGCTCAGAACTTCCTTGCCGCGCGCGGCAGCCAAGCCGCCGCTCGCCACGCCAAAGAGTAAACGCGCGCTCGTGTTTCGCTACCGGGGGCTCCGCTTCTTGAGCGGCTGCCGATCGTGGTGTAACACGCTGCTGTGCCGCGCCGGCGAACGGCTACGACGCTAAGAGGATGGCGGCGTACAGTGCGCTGCGCGGCTCCCGGCTAGAGGAAAGGAAAAAACAAGCAAAAGCTCGGCCACCGTAATAAAAGTAAAAAATTCGAAGGTCGAATAAACACGGGGTGCGCCAGTCAGCGCACC